GAGAGAGAGAGAGAGAGAGAGAGAGAGAGAGAGAGAGAGAAAGAGAGAGACACTGTGAGGAAGTACGCAAATAGAAAGGACGAAATTTATTAAATCGGAGCCGGTTAGCTCAAGTTAGAATAAATTAAGAATTGCATGGGCTGTATCTCGAGAACCTTAAAAAGTTTTTAAATTTTAGAAAAAGGTTTGATCGTGAAATCTCACTGGAAGGAGCTCTTTCGGTTCGAGGAAGCCTAAAAAAGGAAAGCTAAGATCGATCTCAGATTAGACACTTGATGTCTCGAGTTTCAGGATATTCAGGATTCGCTCTTTAAATCAGCTGCAAGTTAAATGTCATGCAAAAGTGCCTTTGATAATGTGCACTACGGTATTCCTTTGATAATAATCTTGACGAAGACGAATATTTGAGTATGATTCCTTACCCTCTTCTTCTCCCTCATCTTTCCTCTTCTTTATATAAATCTTTCATATACTCCTCGTATTTGTGTGTTAACGTACATGCACGAGCGCACAGATAAATGTGGATCAATTAAACTGTTTTCCCCAAATCTCTGATCGTAAGTAGGGAAAACCGGAGCAAGTGGTTACACGGTAACTTGTCACAGTTAATTTTTTTAGTTGTCACAAGTGGCATTTTTATGAATTTTTATATAATTCTTATAATACTCAACAATTTTACTTAGTTCAGCCGCCATATTTGAACTTTAGAAGATATATGTTTTCTTGATTTTCACTATTAAAAATAAATATTTCAGTATAAATCACTTGTGTTATTGTAGATATAAGTTAGAGATATGTGATTATCTTTTTGTATATTTCTTTTATATACATTTGATTATATTAGGTTGTTCGGAAAGTAATTTCGTTTTTTTTAATGAAAATAAAAGACGATTTTCCTATCTAGGCGTTTCAAATGATCATGAACGGTCGAATTCGATAAATTTAATCTCTCAGCGATCTCACAAGTTGTTATTCGCCGGTTTGCATCAATTAATGCCTTTATTGTGTCTTCATCAGCTTTAACTGGCCTTCCAGAACGTGGTGCATATTCAACATCAAAATTACCGGATCGAAATTTTGCAAACCAGTTTTGGCACTGGCGTTCTGTCAATACATCTTCTCCATACACATCGGATAATTTTTTTCTTGCTGAACAGCATTTTTACCTTTTCGATAGTAAAAAAGTAAAATATGCCGAAAATGCTGCTTTTCACTTTCCATATTTGATAGGGCACCAACCAAAAACTACTGCGTAGAATCAATCGAACTTTTTTCACAAGCAAGCCTTGCTATATCAGCTGTCAAAATATATAATGATTATGCGGCTTAAGTGTGAAGTTGGCTGTGAAAAAATACAATAAGTCCTCTGTTGGGAAAAAACGAAATTACTTTCCGAACAACCTAATAATAACATTTTATTTGAATTGATATATGTACTATTAATATATGTAGTTTTCGATTTGTATTTTTTCAAATTGAAAATGGAAAGTTGAGGCAAGTTGTTACACTTTGATCGGGACCGGTTACAGTGTAACAAATTACCCTATTCAAAATTATTTTTTTTTGTTTACAGAATGATGTACAGACTTCTATGAATAGACTACCTACTTCGTCTCTATGTTCAAAGACAACACTGGGCAGCGCCATATTTGTGTTCACTCCACTCTCATATGTATAAATCATACAAATAATAACGTTAGTGTTTTCACAAAAATATTATGCGATATTCAGACAGGACGCATACATATGCATATTGAAACAAGGATAATTCGGAATCAAGTTCATCTCTTTTTATCATATCGAGTCAGCAATCTAGTTATAAAAATCTGTGAAATGGTGCGATCTTACAAAAAAAAAAGACAAACAGAGGATCTGTAAATGTAGAAACGTATGCGACAGCGACAAAGAAAGTTAAAGATGGCCATCTGTCTGAGAAAAGCAGCAAATGCATGTGATATTAATTTTATGATTTTCCACGATTTAACTTTAATAATTAAAGAAAAATATTTTGTAATAGTATATTTTT